TATTTTTACATTTTCTTTCATAGAAAATTTCAGACGTATACAGAAGAGAGAATAGAATTGTATGATAATTTTCCACATTCTTATCACCCAAATTCAGTGATGAAAAATTGATCTCCAATCTTACTTCACCTCTGCCCCCAGCCCCTTACACAGACACACAGTTCCCACTGGTTATTTTGCAGCCAACCTAAGGCATATTTCACCTATAAGTATTTCTTAAAAAGAGCTTTTTAAAAAATAGTATCAGATACCCAGTGTCCAGATTGCCTTGATTACCCTATTTCACACTTGGTTTTGTCCAAACAAGAATTAAACAAATACTATTGCATTTATTCAGTGCCCCTCTTGTGTCTTTCAGCTAGTCCGCCCTGTTTGTTAGTTTACAATTGCAGCTGTCTGTGGAAGAACTGTGACACTTAATCCACAGTTCCTACTTCCTGTGAATTACATTTTTGTGACATTGTTTTCTTTATCCTGTCATTTCTTGGCCCTTTGTTCCTTATTAACTGCTTACTAGGATTTAAAGAAGTTTGAAGCCAGGTGTGGTAGTGCATGCTTGTAATCGCAGGAGGCAGAGGCAAGAGGTTCACAAGTTCGAAGTAGCCCGGGGAACTTAGAAAGACCCTTTCTCAAAAGGAAAGATACAAAGGGCTGAGATTGTAGGTCATTGCGAGCACTTGCTTAGTATGCATGAGCCCAGGGATTGATCTTTAGTATTGATCTTTAGCGTGCGCGCGCATGCGCGCACGCGCACACACACACACACACACACACACACACACACACACAGGAAGTATTTGATTTGATTTGATTCAGGTCCAGTCTACGGCCATACTACCCTGAATGCACCCGATCTCATCTGATTCAGGTCCAGTGATTTTTCAGACCCTGCAGGAGGAATACTTCATAAATGATGAAATACTTGATTCCCTCTCTTTGTGACATTAGATTGGCTGGTGGGTTGGGATCCTGCCAGTCTCTGATCCATACATTATAACAATCCACAAGTTTTACCTAATTGTCTTAGTAATTCTTGGTAAATGTGGCTAGCTTTCATCAGGGCCACAGAATGACCACAAGCAAACTTTTTCATGTCTTCTTCCCTCCTTCGACTGAAATACTTCTAAGATACTTCCTCAACATCTGCTGTTTCATTACCCTAAGGAGTGGTTCCTACTGGAAAGATAAGAACACTTTCTCCTCCCTTCCTTTATTTACCAGTTTTTAAAATAGATTTTTATCGTGCTACCCAGGTGTGGGTTTTTTGTTCTTTGTGTTGTTTTTTTTTTTAATATTGCTAGAAATGCCTGAATTATTAGCATTGTTGGAGTGGGGATTTCCCCCATAGCCACCCACACTGGGTGACTTGCTGGGAAGACTGTTTTCCCAGAACACGGAGCTCAGGTAATGTTCAGCATCGTCCATACCAAACCAGAAGTATGGTCAAAAGGAAATATTGCTTTGCTTGTGTAACTACAAGTCAAAAGAAAAATAGGTGATGCACTGGGACTGACCTCATCCTGCCCTTTATCCCTGTTTATGCCAGTTCCTATGGAAGCCCAGACCCTCTTGGGGCCCCATACCATCTGCATATGCCGTGCTTCTTCTTTTGCTCAGCTTCTAATACTCTTCACCTGAGCCTCTGCTCAGAACCTGCTTGTCATTTTTCTCTAAAGCAAATTAACTACTGGAAAGATAAGAACACTTTCTCCAATGTGAGGGCACTGGTACCTCTTAATGCCCCTGCAGCCCTACTGATAGTGGCTGCCTTTTCTGTGGGAGCCACGTAGCAGAGAACTGCAGGTGAGGTAAGTACTGTGTCCCTTCACATCTCATTGTCACAGTCTTCCTTGCTTACTGAGTGTCTACCCTTCCCATTGATGACACAGAACTTAGTCATTGTACCACTTCTGCCAACCTCAGTGCTCACCTTGGGGCTCTTTTTGTGTTTATAGCTTATCAAGCTCTCCCAACGCCAGAATCCTCCTCTGACCTCCAGACTCCCACAGCACTGTCCACTCACCTTGTGTGCTCAAGTCTCACAAAACACCTCACATATAGTGCATTCAGGAAGAACTTCTGCTCCCCCAGCCAAGCAAAGCCTCTGCCCCCTGCATTCACTACATGGCTCTCCTTCCTCCTGGCTGGTAGGCCATCTTTGGCTCATTCTTTATGCTGCTCTGCTTTCTTTTCCCACATCCAATCCATTGTAAATCCTAATAGGTTCCGTCTTTCAGGTACTTCCACAGTCTTCCTTCTCATGCATTATTAATATTCACATTCACTTCAATCTCCCACCTCAATTATTGCAATGCTGCCTTCCCTAGGCCGGCTCCAGGAAGCCTTTAAAGTAGAGCAGCTCATATTACTCATTCACCCTTGACATTGTAACCAGTTCCTTCTAGCTCTCAAGATCTTGTTTTGGAGCAACAAGATTGAAGGCAACAAAACACCAAGCAGAAAGTGGTGGGAAATGGTCAAATGCATGTTTAATAGAAAGAATAAAATGAAAAGGTCCCCACATCTCAGGGAAATATTCTGTAAAGTAGACACCATAGATGTTTAAGGCCAGGGGCTTTTTATACTGTTTTTGGTACAGGAAAATGTGACAGAACACAGCAATGCTGCTGGTTGCATGGAGGCCTTTGATGTCCAGAAAGCAAGCTACTTTGTTTGCATGTCACTTCTTCTAAGCCTTCTCCCATTTGTTTAGGGACCTTTGCTTTGTCCCTTGTATTTTATTAGGCCCTGATAGCTTGCTTAGGTTAATTATTTGCTTCCTCTGATAGTTAACTCACTTACGTCTTGACTTTTAGTTTACTTTGGATTCAGTATTCCGGAATAGTGAATTCTGTGTCCTGTTTGCCTAACTTCCTCTATCTTCTGGCTTCAACATCATTCAGAATAAAAAGTACAGCCTGTATCATGAGCTATAAGGTTGTAAAGTCTTTGGCCGTCTGTTACCTCACTGAGTGTGCCTGCCATTTTGCCTGTCTCCCTAATGCTAAAGCTTCATCTACCATGCTAACCACTGTGCTGTTCCTCTGCATGTTTGCTGTGTACCCTGCCTATACTGACCTTTACAGATATGTACATGGCCACTTTCCTCCTGGACATCCTTGTGAATGCCTCCTTCTATAATTATGCATTTAAAGTTGCAGGCCTACATGGAAATACTCACTTTTGCTCTGTTTGTCCTTATAGAACTTATATGTTGACAGATCATATAATTTATTTTATTTGTCTTTCTCTTATACTAGAACCTAAGCTCAGTCAGTTAAGGGCTTGAGGGCCTATTTTGTTTGCTGCTATAACCTCAGGACCTGTATGATATGCCTAGCTCATGGTATGTGCTCAAAAAATATGAGAATGATCATCTTTAATAAACTTGAGTCCTCATACATTTTTTCTGATGCAGGATGATATTCTTGGTATTATTCAAGAAAAATTAACATCTTAAAAATTAATTTGCTTTTAAGATAATATGCCATTGTTTAAAAATAGTAGAGAAGTTAAGAATAGCTGGCACTTGTGAAGTGGCTACTCCAGCCAGCTGCCCAGGGAATTCTCCTTCAGATCTGTCTGAGGCAGTTTCCGTTTCTATCCTGTCTTACAATTAAGAAAACACAAATAAAAGTTGGATAACCTTCCCAGTGTCAGAGAGTGTTCAAATCCAGATTGTCTGGCTCCAGAGCCCATATTTTATCATGATTTCATTCTTAGAAAGTGATGACACAAATAGTAAATGTAGTCTCAAAAATTCTTTACTCAAATCTGCTATGCTTAGTGTGTATTTCTTAAAACTGGAGACATCATATACAATTAGGTATCGTTAACAAAATCAGGAAACTTAATATTGACAGAATGTTTTTAACCACAGTCTGTATTCCTGTTTCCTACTAGTAACCTCCCGCATAGCTCTTGCCTCCTGGTTCTCCCCTCTCACACCCGAATCCAGAGTCCCATCCATCTTCACACAGAGCATTAAGTTGTTAAGTCAGGCTCATCTTCACCAATAAGCCAGAGGGCGCAATACTCTTAAGGTCATCACACAGGAAGTTCGGCAGTGTGGTATGTGATAAAGATAGCTTTTCAAATCAAGCAGTAAGGTGAAATAGTCAATAAGTGCCACTGTAGTCAAACATATCACTTGAAAAATGTTACATAAGTACACATTTCAGTTCTTATTCTTACTCCTTGTATGTTGGTGCTGTCAAATGAGACTATTTCTGTCTTGGTAGTCAAATGGTCCTGATCATCAGGACTGTTATAGATGGTGCCCTGTGTGTCTGAGTACTATGTATGTCAATCACATGTTATATCGACAACATGGGGAAGGCTTCATTCCTTGCTTGCACTCGACTGATACATGTCCACTGTTGCCATACTGTTATTCTTGCTTCTCTGTTCTCACTGCACCGCTTAACTAGAGAAAGCTGCCACGCATATGAGTTCTGAGTACATAAATGAGTGAGCAAATGAATATAAACAATGAAAGGTTTTGTAGCCTGCATATTCAAACATCCTCATGACCATTTTTTATGTCCAGGTAATGTAGATCTGTGTGTCTGTCTTAGCTGATGATGGGGGTAAATTGTTCAGACAACTCTTTAACAATGAGATACACTGGTTTTCTATAATTTTGTCTTTCTGATTGAATGTTCTTGATTCTTGAATTATTTATTGGTCGTTTCATTTTTCGTTATTTTTAAAAACTGTACCTTTAGTAGCTGTCTCTCCAGAACTGGGAGCATTTCATTATGTCTTCTTTTGTATACGCTATGAATCTTTGTTAAAACATAAAATTACATTTTAAAATATAGTTTTTTTAAAACCACAAGTCAATGTAGTAAGAAATAAGGTATGCCAGTAACAAAAGAAAAGCATTGCAATTTTGTATTGTTTTAATAGATATACCTTAAAATGTAACAGAGGTTGTCTTTTATGTTGAAATAATTTGTTTCTATTTTTCTCTTTCCTCCTCTTGCCTCTTTATAAAGGAGTCAGTCACTGCCAACATAAAGTTAAGAAAGCTAGGCGCTTTCTCCCTTTGGTCTTCTGTTCCCATGAACAACCTCCTACCGGTACTGCACTGAATTTGCATAGGCTCTCCTATTAACCAAAGCACTCCCATGAAATTAACTCTAACCTGATGCTTATAGATTGTCCTAAACAGATCAGATCCTTACTGAATATGTGTATGTGCTCTCTGCTTTCCAGAAGTGATAACTGGGGGAAAGGTTTTGTGTCTCACAATCTTTGGGCTGCTCTCTTACATAGATTTCTTGTTTGTCTGTTTGCTAGTTTTTAATGCATGCCAGGGCAAGTAGTATTTTCTCAGTTTTGTGTTTTCCAAGTGTTTTCCCACAGGAATTGGAAGGACCATGATTTTTGCTGAATAGATTTCCTAATGCTAAATGAAGGAAACAGGGTGAACCCTGGGTGCCTACTTTCTGTGCCTTGGGCACAGATGTTCAGGGTTGCAGCATAGATAAGGCAGTCATTCCATTTGGAGAATATTCTATGAAAGCAATGATTTTCTTATGGCTGTTGAAGCAGTTTCTACAAAATGTTTAAAATAAGATTTTTTGTTTTGTACAAATTTAAACTTGAGCCTTGTGTGTCATCGGAAAGCTTGAAGTCCTATAGTCCCCTACAGTTCTTAGTAGCACGCCTGGCCAAGTACTTCTCCCTTGTGATACTAAAATCCCATCAGCTCATTGGGATAGATGTGCTATGGGCTTGTTCTCTTAGTTGTCATTTAATGTGTACATTGGAGATTAGTTTATTTTCTTTTTATCTAAGAGTACACAAATTCTCTGAGCAAGGTAGAAGCCATTTTTAACATTTAATTGTGAGAAACAAATTAATTTTCCTCAGTGGTAGAAACTAATTTAAACTCTATAATACTGCTATGTAACTTCGTATAATATATTGGAACCTTAAAAGAGAATAACATCCTTCAAGTAAATATTCTACTACTGCAATCTTTCTTTTATCTTTTGAATTAGACTTTGGGGGGTGATTTTGTTATTTTTCTGATGCTTTGATTTACTTGTCATTTTAATAGTGTGTTTCCTTTCTCTTCCCTCCTCTTTTCTGTCTCTTTCCCTCTGTTCCCTACTCCCTCTTTCTTTGCATGCCACCTGGATCTACAGATGAAATTAGTGGGGACGGTAATATTTATTTTCACATTTGTGTTACTGCTGTGAGATGATTACTTATGGAAATACAGTCCAGTATTTAATGAAAGGCAAAATATGGTTTTGATCCAACAGAACAAAGTAGAAAATGCTATGAGGAAAATGGTCTCTTTAGAATCATTTAGGCAGAGTTTAGACATAAAAGGAATAACATCACAGTAGAAAATTGGAATTGTGTGTTCATAGTGAATTTTCTAGATTTTATTATTTAACTTTTAGAGTTTTAGGAAGTTGTCAAATGGTATTTCAGCAAAATTAGTTATACTTGGAAACAGTAACTTCTCAAAAGAAATATAAACACACATGTACATATATACTATATAAATGAAAGTGGTTTTTAAGAATCAAAAACTGACATAATTAAGGAAATTTCAGCAATAATGATAATATTTTTTTCAAACAGTTGACAGCACTTCATAAGATAGAAATTTTAAAATACATTTAGTGTCTTATGTTTCTCATTTACTTTATGAACTGTCTGCATGAACCTTTATACTCCATTATACCAGAGGAGTAAGATTTTCTAAACTAAAATGAGAGGGCTGTATTTTTTTCCCCTCATGGTTGGAAAAATACTTTCACTGAAGATTTCACCTCTGTTCATTTCTTGATATGATAGAGATTGATAACTGGCACGGAATGAGCAAAGCAATTGCAGTGAAAGACCTTAACTAAATATAACTTTAGAAAGTACTTATTTTTTACAGGATTTGAAGCTAGAAGGTTTAAGCTCCCTTTCCACATTGATTCCTTGGTGGTAACAAATTAGCAGTTGCTGTTCTTTGAGAGCCTCCTGTGTATAAGCATCTTACCTGCTGGATTCCTCACTGTCACCAATCCCTTAAGAGTATCACTGGGAGGTACTATTTTGCAGATGAGGAACAAGTGATCAGAGAAGAATATTTAGGTCTTGAACTTCAGCCTCGCCCTTACCCACTGCCCTATCCTGTCAACAGCTATTGTGTGACCTCAAGCACATTTCTCTATCCACTGCATCCTGCATCTCCCTGTGGAAAAGAGTTCACTTGAATAAATACCTACACACGCGCGCGTACACACACACACACCACATATTGATAGAATCCAAGCTTTTCGTGTATTTCCCCCATATTTGAATTTCCCAGTTCTCTGAATGAGCAGCCAGGACAAGTATACTTGCCCCATCTTACAAGTGAATAACTGAGCCTTAAAGTTTACTCACTTGATCTTGGTCACAATTCATAAAGTAAAGCCTATGGACCTAGTAGCCCACCTGTTGTGGTACTGCCTCTTGAGCTAGCAGTATTTTCATATTTTTAATGGTTGAGGGGAAAACATCAAAAGAAAACCAGTACTTGTGATAATCAAAATTATATGAAGTCCAGATTTCAGTGTGCGTTAGTAAAGTTCTGTTGGAAAACAGCCCTGCCAACCCATTTGTTTACATGGTGTCTGTGGCTGTTCCAAGGCTGCAATTTGAACAGCAAAGTTGAGTAGCTGCCAGAAAGACTGTATGGGCAGCATAGTCTTTACAAATTTCTTGTCTGACCTTTTACAGAAAACATGTGCCAGTCCCTAGTCTAGCTCGCATAGCTAGGTAGTACTACAGAGCAAAGTTGGGTTGATCTTGGCTCCTAGAAAGTACTGCTTCATGGTGCTGTGGAGTTTATGGTACATCTGGGTTATTCAGGTTGGATTAAGAGACTAAAATTGGTTGATCCTTCTGAATTGCCTGAAAAATCTAGTCACTGTAAAGATATTAGTGCAAGGGATAGATGACTCATCAAACTTCCTAGCCTCCTGACTAGTCCCTATCCCTCTGAGGAGCAGCAGGGAAGGAAGTCGAGGATACAGATTGTCAGAATTTCTGATACACACACCGCATACAGATGCCACTATAAAGAAGGGCAGAGAAGCAGAAACAGAATTACTCTCTGCCTCATACATGAAATATTGTGCAGGTTTATTTATCTGGCAAGGTTTTGAGCTTGAAGGGTCTTGCACAGTTCCTGGAACTTGTAAACTAAGGGGTATTCATTTTTCTACCTATACATTCCCCTTAAATGTCAGATGGACTTTCTGCACAATACCTCCAGAAGCATCAGGCCCTTTAATGACAAAATATGAGTCTTTAATATCATCCAGTTCTGTTCATAATTTCAGTAGTGACTTTGTCTCTCTTTACTTTGAAATGGGGATGCAGCAACTATTTTGTCCTATTTTCTTTTGTTCTGTATTATTTTCTGAGCTGTTAGTTTCTGTCTTTTAATGAGTCTTCTACCATACCATTCAAACTATGCTATCCAAATTTTAAAAGTCTTCTTTTTAAATACTTGATTGTTTTTTGTTTGTTTTTTTGAGACAGGGTCTTACTATATTACCCAGGCTGGCCTTGAAGTCCAAGGCCCATGCAAACCTCCTGCTTCAGCCTCCTGCATAGCTGAGAATACAGGCATGTGCTACTGCATCCAGATTTTAGTGTTTTATATTTTAAATCTTTAACTCATGGACAGGCTTCTTAAAATCCTCTTCCAAATTCACAGGTTTAGATGAGCCTTCCTGAGAGCATCCTGTACTGAGAGAGAGAAACAGACAGACAGACAGACAGACACACACACACACACACACACACACACACACACACACAGATAAAGATGAAGAGATAAGACATAAAGACAGAGAGATTAGAGAATTGTCACATGGAACTCTTAAGCAGAAGGTTACAGATCTTCACAGAACTATGTCCCTTCAGCATTGTTCACTCCATAAGAGCCAACCCATAAAACTAATTGCAGTAAAATTCTGTTCACATTACATCACAGTATACATTCCTGACCCCAAATATTAATTCCCAGATAGCTTTCCCCAGGTTTTATATAGAATTCACATAGCTCTTTTAAAAGTTAAAGGCCCTTTCCTGTGATTTTATGAACTAATAAAAGTGTAAGCAACATGATTCTTCCCAAATCAGTGTTGTAAGCTAGGCTGAGATACGTTAGGCATTTTATTTTTATTCCTTTAGAATTGTTTCAGGGTTTGATTTCTGTACTGGAGGTCTTATGTGACAGTTCTTAAAGGCATTACAGTCAAACCAAGACTGACTAAAAGGATCAGCACGCAGGAATCTCAGCCCCTAAAGTACAGGTCTATCCCAGAGAACTCACAAGAAACAGAACAAGACAGGAACTTCCATGTCTTGATCCATCTGTCATGTGCAAGGCCACATCTCAACTTTATGTCTCTTATAATCCTAATAACCCCACAAAGTTGGTGATGCTTTTTATTTCACATATGCAATCACAACCAAAACACAGCTAGGTGAAGTGACTTCCCAAAGGTCAAATGTGTGATTATGTGGCTTGTTCCGTGTCCAGCACCAGCTCTCCTATTCACTATGTGCGCCACCTTCACAGATAATTTAAATCCTGATGCTTCAGAGTCTGGGGATACGTCATCCTATTAGTGTACTGCTGCAGTACAGTCATCTTTGTCATTTTGTCTCCTGAGTCCCACCTTCTGTGCCAGGTGATGCTTTAGATGTAAACAAGGTATATGAGGGTTCTCCAGACATTCTGTTCTGGAGAAATAAACAGATAACAAGGAAGCAAAATAATACGTGGCATTTACGGGTAATGAGGACAGTAAATTAGGGTATATGATTGAGAGCAGAGGGGATGGGGCAAATTAGTTTGAGGAGAGGTCTCTGAATATAGTGGCACTTTGGCTGTGAGCCAGCTTCAGCTCATGGTAGGCACTGGGTTTGAGGTCACTGCTGTTGTTGTCATTGTTAGTTTCATACCCTTTTTTGCGCAGGCAGTAGACACCTGATACTTTGGTTTCTATTTTTTCTTTCTTTTCTTTTTTGTACCAGAAATTGAACTCAGGGCCTTGTGCTTATGCCACTGAGCTATATCTCTGGCCCAGGATTTTCTTTTTCTTTTCTTCTCTTTTTTGTTTTTTATTTTTTGGTTTGTTTGTTTCTGGATAGGTTGGTTTGATCCCCTGCAGCCCTGAGAAGTGTGGTGCTTGTGGAATGGAGTCTGAAATGCCAGATGAGTCAAACCTCAGAACTAACTACAGGGTTTGTTGAAGTCCCTTGAACAGTTTAAGGGCAGGACTTGGAGAGGGCAGCAGATGTAGGAAGTCTGAATAGCTTTCCCAGCAAGAGTCCTACCTTCTAGGGTCAGCCAGATGGATGCACTTTCCACATGAAAGGAGGCAGAAAGGGAACTGAGGCCACTGTTTATGGAAATGCAGCCTTGCTTGCATTTGTTTTCTGAGAGGAGTGTTGTGAAGCTGAGTCTGCTAAATTATAGAATAAGAACAAAATGATGGGTACATGTCTCTCTGTGATTTACGTGGCCATTATTGTCCTGGCTATTAGAGTAGATTGATTGCTGCTCAGTTTGTTGCTACAGATGCCTGCACAGCTCCCAGATTTTTATTGACAAGTTCTTTTGATAAACCTACACAAAAGCAAAGCTACAGGCCTTTGCAATGCCAGTTTCCTGTTCTTGGTGTTCACAGAGCAGAGGATAAGAGAGAGAAATTTGGATATAAGAGAATACAAGGTTTACATTTTTTTTTCTTTAATTCTGTAAATAGTATTACTTATAAACATACAACTAACACAAAGTATCTACCAGTCAGAGGACTTAAGAATACTTTGGATTGATACATATCTTAAGGACTGCTTTTTAGCATTTGTTTCTGATATATATTAAATATATTCATCATGGCAGACTTTAATCATATTTGATAATGACTACACAAATTCTTCCAGTGACAGGTTTAATATCAATCATTACCATTATAGTATGTGCAACAATTGATGTCCTAACGACTGGGAAAGATACCCAGTCTCTCCTTTGGCTTCTGTACCTTTAGTGTCTGAATCAAGTACTAATCGTGTTAGTTTCTCTCGGGTTAAATAGGCAAGTCAGGTTAGCTATCAGTAGGAACTTAGTGACCCTGAGAAATGAAAGGCCTAGCAGCATAGTCCTTACAAATGGACCTGCTAAGAGTTCTCCTTTTTCCAGAAGGAGAAAAACAAACTGAACTCATGTGGTTTTGTAACATAAATGTTATTCAGAGATGTGATTGTTTTCTTCAAAGGAGTGTGGGTTTCTTTGTTTGTTTGTTTTTAATCTTCCACTAATGCAGTGGATTTTTAAGTTACTGCATTACCAAATGGAAACTTTGAAATTCCTTGATATTACAGTATCTCAAAAAATAACTGATTTTAGTACACTGTTTTACTTTATTCTTTTTGATAAATCTTTTTACATTTTTGACATGAATATATACTCTTCAAATATCTGAGTTAAAAAGTTACAGAAGATAAATTCTAGGGTTGCAACCTTCAACTCAATAAATGAAATAAATCAGCCCAGTTAATCACTTCAAAAATCCGGCCCTCATTTGTTTCTCTTAAGGAGAAGTTTCAGATTAAGCTGTCATGTCTAGTAATCAGTAAAATCATACTTTGTTTTAAAGATCCCTGTCTTGTTTGGAGTGATCGCAGTACACAACAATGTAGTTTCAAACATGTATTTGTTGTAGCTAAAGGAGAGTTCTGCAGTCTGCACAAATGGGTTAATTTGAATTCTACACATAATTATTTCATGTCTTTCTGTTTTTTGATAAGGGCTTACTGTGTTCGCCTATTTGCTAACTGATAAACAAGTCTGTGTATTGTAACATGTTGGACAATGATGTCACTTTTATTTCCACAAATGAGTCTAGTGATCAAAACTTGAGTAATAGTATTTTAAGACTATTTTAGCATAGTAAGGGGTTAGGCAGATCAACTTGCCTTTTCAAATCATATTAGAGGCCAAGATGTCCAATATTTAACCTCTACCAATATAACTGTCTTCGTTTTTTACAGAGACAGATGATTATGCTGAGATTATAGATGAAGAAGATACGTACACCATGCCCTCAAGTAAGTAGACTTCTCATTTTGTTCTTGCTCAGATTTCATGGATAGTACCTCATATATAAAAGTTTTAGATATTCATTATCCTTTAGAATCTCATTGAGTGCTTAGCCAAAGTGTTCTTCTCAACCTTGACGATTCTATATGTGTCTATTTCAAGGTGAGAGGGCCAAAATATAAATGTCTAGTAATTAATGTGGGTGAGTTACAAGATTTTTATAATCTTATTTTCTGGCTCTGTGTTAATATAATGTTATTTTTCCTCTGTTGAAAATTTTTGCTATTTAAAGTATACAGACACACATACACAAAAATTGCATTTCTCCCTTGGAATTATTCATTACTGTCACTGACTAACTAATGCAAACAGCTTCTAGCCTTCAGTCCTTACACTTCAGTTGGAAGAGGGTGGAGACAAATCCCTTAGATCATCTAGATCTGCCTCTTAAGGAAGTTTCACAATTCTTAGTAATTTGAATGTCCCAATTTTAGATTTCAATAGAGCTAAACATTTTGGTTTTTATTATTTAAATACTTTTAAAAGTATTATTTGGATTTTCTGTGTACAGTGAGACATAACCAAAATAAAGAGAAGCCACCAGGCCTCTGATGCATTTTCTTGGGCAGACCCCTTGTGGGCTTTCAAGAGTTCTTTATCAGAGAGTGAGTGTGACCCAGGCAAGAGTTGAAACTTGAGTGTATGTGTTTTGACTGCCAATAGCAATTTGGAAAAATGTTTAAACTTTTAGTTTTGGAGTTTTTTTTAAAGGGGGGAGGTTGATTAGGCATTTAATCATTTGTACATTCCTGCAGAGAATCCACATTTGTCTTTGTATATTTATTGTTCCTAATTGAATATTAAATGCCTAACAAAGCTATGTTTTACTCAAATGCCACAAAAATGAGTTATAAAATAGGAATTTATGAAATGGGTACTTAAGGGCATTAGTTAAATAACATTGGTTCAACTTAAGGATAGTTTTTGTTTGTGTTTAGTTCTCTTTTTTACTCATGTTTGTACTTAAAATATTTAGTAAAGTAAGTGTTAGTAAAATGTACTCTCCAATATTGTTGTTGTTAACGTAATTGCTATTAGTTATTTCTAAGCAAGGTCTTCAATTTTTTTCTCTCAATTGCAATACAGAAAGCTATGGAATAGATGAAGGTAACAGGATTCCTTTGAAATAACTGCATTTGCTTGCAATTGCAACTGGAGTGATTTGGGATGTTTCAGTTTTCAGTTAACTTTTATATTTTAAAATTATTTGTCATTGATTTACTCATATTGTTAAATCAATGAAATTACTAGCTAAAGTGATTTTAAAGAGGAAAGGTGTTATATAAAAACTGGGCCAGAGGTTCTGCCATCTTCTAATTTGACCACCAAAGGGAAGATTTTAAATATGTGATTACTGTTTTATTTCATTGGTGATGATACTAATGGAATATATACAATACAGGTTATGGGGATGAGAGACTTACTAGAAATAAATCAAAATATCAGGTAGTTAATTGAATCTATTATGTTGCAAATGGGTATTTTCTTTCATGTGCCTCCACAGCCTATTAAGCAATTGATTTTTATATAACTCACAAATTAATACATTAATTTGAGGCACGTGTTCTCAAGAATTGATGCTGATATGTTCAACTTTGACTTGAAGGCATCTAATTTTGAAATTAGTTTTCAGAAACTACCTCTTTAAACTCTTTTAGCTCCATGAATAATCTAGAGATAGGATTATTGTAAAGTGGAAAACTCTTAAACTTTCAAAACATAAAGTTCACTCATAATACTATTTTTTGTTGTCTCTATTTACAAACTTTAGTTATTTTTAAAATAACTGCTTTAGGTGATTGCTTTTATAACCTTCATATGTGAATTCCTAAACTAATAGTTGGTTTATAATATAATATTTGGTTTAATTATTTAGATAAGTAGATACGAGATAAATTAGACATTCAAAGACTCCTAGGAACAGCATGAAAAATATATCTACCTTTAGTAGAATTCATTGGTAGTCTATCCAGTACCATAACTGATATACAAATTCTTTTTAAAGTGTTAAGAGAATTCCACTCTGTTTAAAGCATTTTTTATATAGTGACGTATTACACATAAAGTTTTTGCTGATGGGTGATTTATGTATTAAGTGTTGTTTCTGTATTTGGAATATTGTACTTATTTATTGATGTGTGCGTCATGTTTTGCAGCGAGGGATTATGAGATTCAAAGAGAAAGAATAGAACTTGGACGATGTATTGGAGAAGGCCAATTTGGTGATGTACATCAGGGCGTATATATGAGTCCAGTAAGTCCTTTGCCAGTACTAAAAATCTAGGCTGAGGTTGACTGTTTAAGTTTAAATTGTCTCTTATTTGTCTTTGTAAGCTGTTTTTCTGGGTATTTACACTTGTGTTTTTTTAAAAGCTCACTGTACCTGTCAACTTATTTGGTATATTCAGATATCAAAAAAGGTAAAATTTGCTCCTATGGGGCTGGCTCTGTCTAATTTAATATCTCAGCATTTGTCATCAGTAGATGCATTAGTGACTATTCCAATCAGAAAACCAAACTCAATAGCAGTTAGCAGTACTCACTTCCACTTCCTGCATCTTCAAGAACAGGACATTAGTTTGCCGTGGTTTGCCCTCCAGAAGATACCAGTGAATGTGTATAATTCAGGGCTTCTGGCTGTATTCCAGAGTTGTGTAGCCATCACCATAGTCAATTTAAGAATATGTTTACCTCCTCAAAAAATTGGCACACATTAGCAATTGTTATGCACACCACCCTCCCCCAACTTCTTGTAACTGCTCTCATTTTTCTCTCTGTTTCCCTATTCTGGACATTTCAGATAAATGGAATTACACATTTGTGATCTTTTCCTTTTTATTGCCAAATAATGTTCCTTATAGATATACCACCTTTTCTTTATCCATTCTTCAGTTTTTAGACATCTGGGTTGTTTCTACTTTTTGGTTATTAAAGTGCTGCTGTAAATATTCATGTACATGTTTTTAAGTGGATATAGTGTGTCAGTTTTCTTTTGTATATAGTCAGGGGTAGAATGGCTTCCTTACACAGTAAGTCTTTTATCGTTTTAACAAACTGCCAAACAGATTTCAAGGCACTTGTACCATTTTACATCTCTCATAATATCATCACTAGCACTTATATATCTTTAATTATTATTAGATTGCTGATTTTTTTAAGTGACATTTTGGAATTCGTGCATATTTGCTTAGAAAAAAATTTTTAAATTTATTTTTGAGACAAAGTCTCGCTTTGTAGTGCAGACTGGTCATGAACTCACTATGTGGCCTCAAACTCATGGTAGTCCTCCTGCCTCAGCTTCCTGCATGCTAGGATTACAGGAAAGTCTCACTGGGAGAGAAAAAAAATTTTAACTGGAATAAAACAGGTATACAGAGAGAGTGCTAATAAAGTTAGAACAACATAGGTAATTGATTCTCTTCTGTTTCTCTACTTTGGAAACAGCAAACCGGTACCTTCACAACTTTCCTTTTTTTTTTTAATATCCTTTACACATGCCCCAGTGCATGTTATTTTTATATCCAAAAAGTTATAGAAATTAGTTGTATTGATTTGGTTTTTTACCAAAGACAACTGATAATTGCCACCATATAGTGAGAGACTTACTAGTAGTTCAGATTTTTTTGGTGTTTTTTTTTGTTGTTGTTGTTGTTGTTTTTGTTTTTGTTTTTTGTTTTTTTTTCCTGTACTGGGAATCAAACTCACAACCTCGCGCTTGCCAAGCAGGCTCTGTGCTAAATCCCCAGCCCCCATAGTTCAGTTTTTTAAAGTTCAGCTTTAATCATCTTTACTTTGTGCTTACATCAATCAAATTATTTAAGTCATTGTATATTTTTATATTTTATTTAATTAAATTCTGCTTTTTAAGGTAAAATTTAGTAAAAACAGCAGTGGGTCTAAATTGAATGGAAAGACCCAAATTTAGGCATGTCTGTGCCTTCCTATTAGATGTTGGAAGGTTAGGCTTCTTGACTCTTAAATAATTGAACCAGATGATCTCTGAGCTTCCTTCTACGTCTACCTCTGATAAGTAAACTTTCTAAAGTTCCCAGGCTAACCTGGGTCACACAGCTGATAACTGAAGAGTGGGCCTGTGCCCTATGGGAGAGAGTTGGACTTCATGAGATGATCTGATCAATATTTCTAAAATATCTCCCTGCCATATGAAGTGTGGATGGCAGAAGGAAAAGTAAGCATTTTCGTTAAGGTTGTAGCAAGCTGACAGTGAAAATAGCAGAACCAAAAATGGCTACTGTATTGTCTACACTGAACAACTATATGAATGCTATTTAAGTAAGATGAAGACTCTTGGAAGAAATGGGATTGATACCTTCTCCCAGAGAGGCAGAACTGCATGGAGATTTATTGTAAGGAATTGGTGTGTATGGTTATGGAGGCTGTTGAACCCCAAGATCTACATTTGGCAAACTGGATTCGTAAGAGGGCTAATGCTGTAGTCAAATCCAAGTGTGAAGGCCTGAGAAAAGAGTGTAGTTCAAATCTGAGGGCAGGAAGATACTAGTGTTCCGGCTGTCAGGCAGAGAAGTTTCTTCCTCTTTGTATGAAGCCTACCCACACCAGGGATGGTAGTCTGCTTTTCTCAGTCTGCTGATTTAATGTTAAGCTCGTTTAAAACCATCCTTACGAAAACATCCAAAATAACATTAGACCAAATATTCCAAAGACCTCATGGCTCAATCAAGTGGATATATAAAATCCACCCTTGTGGTGGGAATCAGGAGCTCTGTTTGGGGCATGTCTTTTTTTTTTAATTATCAGTACATGTTTGCAGTTCATGCCATTACAGTCATCATGGGCAGGGGATATATGTACATATTACAGCTTTTTTTTTTAAATTTCCTTCCTCTTCCCTTCTCCTCCTGCCTCTTCTTGTTCCCCACCCTGTCTTTCATACTTGTTATGTTGTTTTAGTTCATGTTATGGCATATAGGGTGTACATTAATTTGGGTTATTAGGTTCCTGTACATGGTCCATCTTTAGTCCTCTCATTTCTCTTTCTCCTTCTTTCTCAACCCTCATCCTTGTTTCCTTGGACCACTTCCCTATTGTAAGAGATCCATCCCCTTATCCCTTTGTATCCATCCTTTATCAATTTCTTTGCTTACACTTTGCTTCACTCAAACGAGAGATACCATATGGTATTTAAGCTAATGTATCTGTTTATTTCAATCAACATTATATTTTCAAGGTACATCCATTTTCCTCCAAATGTCTCAGATGTGTCATTCTTTGTAGCCAAGTGGTATTCCATTTGGGGAATATCATTTTTGAGATTATTTTTTCCCCCTCTACTGGAGACAGCAAATGGATAGGTTAAATATGTGAATCTGGATTGAAAGAGATAGTCGAGACTAGACACACCAATTGGAAGATCAGTATGTAAGTGGCACTTGACTCCTTTGGCAATAGATAAGGTAGCTTAGTAGAAGTGAGACCAGAACTGGACCTAACAGTGTATATATAGATTTGAAGAAGAAAAGAGGTAAAATCTCATCTTCATAAATCTCTTAATGCCAGTACCTTCTACCTGTGACTGTTTTTGTGGACTCCCCTCCCACAATTAATTAGCAAGAGTTCTTTCAGGAAAGAACTCTTAACCGTTGGCACGGTTAAGTTTCATTAGTGCTCAAGAAATTAATCATAGGCATCATTTCAGAGCCAAATATTCTGACAAGTGGCAGCTCCATCCTGGCTGGGGACAGTGGCTCCTGCCTAGAGTGGTTCTGTGTTGCCCACTGTTTGGTACTTGTCACAACTACAAATTGCCCTCATTCATCCTTCAAGCAGCACCTTACAGGGAAGCATGATGCCCACAAGCCTCCTAGCCTGTGGAATTCAGGTTGCAGAGGATGAGATGACATCTGAGATTATCTGTATAAAGCATAGAAATATCAAAACCTGTTGAGAAATTAAAGACAGATTATATACCCTGTTGAAGACCAAATAACTTCGTACTCTTCAAAGAGGGTGTAGAGGGAGACAGAGGCAGATTCACAATAGCATCACACTCCTTGTGTGGTGCCACTGTCCCTCCTGAACTACATCTCTGCCTGGTTGATTCATCTACGTTTCATAAGGAGGCTTGGGAAAGATTCTGAAAAAAAGAGAATAGCAGCAGCAACAGTGCGACTGAGATAGGGCTCAGCATTTCTTAAACCTGTGTAAGTTCCCATTTGCTCTTCTCTAATCTCCAACCCTCTTTCTTTTCTCTGTTTCTTTTTTGCCTTCATAACAGTATGAGGCACCTTACAAAAACACATAATATGAAATAAGATGAGTAAATAGTTCTGACAAAGATAACATAAACCCCAAGGTAAGTACAGTACATATAGTTGCTATCCAGATTCATCCCTAGAGTCTGTTGAAAAGCTTTAAGTGGCAAATCATTTTTCATATTACATTTCTAGTATTTCTTAAACTCTGAACTTGAAAAAAAGACAGATATTTTGGCTTCTAGGCCAGTGCATTTTCTTAGGTTTCCTCCTGTGTTGGTGGTAACATGGGCCCAGGGTCTCTTACCATTTTCCTCTCTTCTCCCTGACCACTTCATTATGCAGAGCTATAGAGCACCATCCTTGGACCTCTGTCTTCCCTTGATGATGTCATGCAGTCCTGTGAACCAGACTACTTCTGATTTCCATATCCAGCTCAGACTTTTTCCTGCATCCTAGACATACTGTCCTGCTACCCACTGTGCCCTGGTTCCTCCAGTATTTCATTAATGTCCCTAGCTTACCACTTCCATAGCTAAATTTAGGATCTTCTTCTTCTGTCTTGCCAGTTTAATTTTTTTGGCCAAAAATAAGAATTTCTCCCTCTCTCACTCAGTCCATCAGGAGCCACTTTTTCTTACCTTCAAAACATGTGCAGAGGCTCATTCCTTCTGTTCACCTCCACTGTTGCCACACTTATGCAAGTCACCATCATCTGTCACCCAGGGTAATGCCCTAGTGGCCTGCAGAGCTCCTTGCCTAACCTCCAGCTGTCTCAGCAGCATAGCCAGAGTATTCCTTTGAGGTCCTGCTTCCGACCACACACTCCTCTGCCCAGACCCTACCCTGAGTCCTTCTTTTGTTTTTGGGTTTTTTTTTTTTGTTCTTGTTTTTTTCCAGTATCAGGAATTGAACTCACGACCTTGCGCTTGCCAGGGTTCTGTGTTGCCCACTGTTTCCCTTACCATTTCCTTCTGACACCATCATCTCCACCTTCATATACTCAACGCCAGCCTTACTGGCCATGCATGTATTCATTGAGCAGGGCAAGCACATTCTTTCTGCAGCTGGAAGTAATTTACCAAGCTTGACCATGTGGCTGACCCTTTCTTCTTTCAAATCCTTGCTGTCATCTTGTCTTCTCAATGAGGTCTTCCTCAGATAGCAGCCAAAACCCCATGTCCCACATCCTAATGCCTCTTCGTTACACTGTTTTCCCAGTGTAGTATATAATTATTGGTTCCTTACTGAAATAGAAGGTGAGCAAGAACAGGGACTGCTGCCTCTGTTGTTCACTGGTGAATCCCAGGAACCTAGAACAGCACCTGCCATGAGGCAGACACTTAGCATTCATGGTAGGGGAATGAGTGACTCTCTGCAGTGTTTTGCATGCATCGTCTATTTTTCCTCTGAGGATTTTCTCCAAAATTTAAAGTATTTTTCTTTTTAAGATTTTAGCACTGAGGATGTAGCTCAGTGACACAGCACCTGCCTGGCAAGTGCAAGGTCCTGAGTTCAATTCCCAGTAGCAAAAACAAGATTTTATAGTTATACTGCTATGTAGTATAGAATCCACAGAGTTATAAAACAAACAGTTTCTCATGAATATGCCTGATGCTTGATACAGAGAACCTTTTGCATGTGTGTGATTCTGTAATTTCCTTTACACAGGAGAATCCAGCTTTGGCAGTTGCAATTAAAACATGTAAAAACTGTACTTCGGACAGCGTGAGAGAGAAATTCCTTCAAGAAGCCTGTAAGTTTCTGCAAATTTCTGTGGAACTCCATATAACTCTCTGTGAAACCCTGTCTTTGAAAAAGAAAAATAATGTTTTTACTTCTTGAGACGACTGTATTTATTTTTCCTTGCAAATTAATGTCCAGATTTCCACTGGCACATATCTATAGATTTTTGCCACATAAATGCAATGTATTAGATGTAAGGATAGATGATATACTTTTTGTTTACACTTTGCTAGCTACACCATTAAACATCTTTGTACTGGAATTGGTTTACATATATGAAATGATCCCAACCCAGAGATTTCGAGGCCTGGGAATATAGAAATGAGCAAGACAAACACACTCTCTACCTTTTTGGAGCTCACAGACTACTGGAGGAGTAAGGATTGTGACCAGTCCCCTAGTCCTGCTACAAAATCAGAAAGATCTCTTCCAAAAAAACTTTAGAAGAGACTTCTGGTGACTTACTAGGTGATTTTTGTTAGAAGTGACTTTCTCCACCTACGTTCCTCTGGCTCTTGGTTTGAGTATCCTGTGATGAACCTTCCTTGGATGAGTTATATGTTACTGGGTCTTTTCTTCTGAGAGTAAACTCATGGAGAGCAAGGGTCTTGTCCATTTTGTACACCTTAAGCCATCTTTACCTACTCTTGGGCTGTGGTGTTGTCCTGTCACAAACTTTATCCCTTCTCAACCTCCAAGGCTTCTCTTAAACATCACCTACATAGAGAACCCTTTTCTAACCAAGATACTTAAAATAGACGTTTCCTTGGTGTTCTCTGTCATAGAACCACATTGTGTTTCTCCAAAGTCAAGATTAAATGCATATGTTGTTCACATTGATTATTGTCTGTCTCTCCCACAAGGCCTTAAGCTCCAGGATAACAGGGACTATGTCTGTTTTGCTCATGGCTCCATACCCATTCCCAGCACAGGACATGACACATGAAAGGCACTCAGTAGATGCTATTATTGGACTGAATCTTGGTGTTTTCATTACACATACATCAAATGAATATCTTCCACTTTCCATTTTGTAAACATTTGCCACCTAACCCTCCAGCAAATTAATGTGGTATCATTATTGTGACTTCATCAATTAAGTCCAAGTACATCCTTAATCCTGTTTGTGAATCTTGTAAGTTATATATAGGAAAAGGGTCTGGCCCATGACTTCTGTCTCACCTCATTTATTTCTACAGTGTGCCTATGGCAAGAAAATACAGATAACATCAGTTATTGTTACCCAGCTCTCTTATCTGCCTTACCTTTGGTGGAATTCTTGTGCATTATATATTTTCAAAATCACAAATTTCAAATATGTATCTTTTTCTAAAATTTTGAATATATATTGTTTTTTGTGGGACAACAATATAGAAATCAAATATGTAGTTTTGTAGGAGTAGTTAAATCAAACTGACCTTGTTTTCTTTAAAATAGTTGCTCAGGTTTTACTTCTGGGGGCTGAAACTGTTGTAGTATATATTGGTACCTCAGTTCATGGACTTAATTTTTTCAACAGTTCGGGTCACAAATGGAATTGGACAAGCACCAAATCAAATTCAGTGGTTAGGTTCAGTATTGACCTTATGGGGAAAGGTGATTTGGTTCTCATCCAGTTCATTTTGCAATCAGAATCATGGAAAGAATTAAGCTCATGAACCCAGATACCACTGAATTTCAGCTCCTGAGGAGCTTTAACATGTGTATATAGGATGTGAGAGATGGTGTGAGAGATGGCCTAGGCCAGGGTTCATTAGGCTTTTCTGAGCAGGCCAGGTAGCACATTTCCAGTGCTGCAACCTGTGTATTCTCTGTCTCCACTATTGAGCTCTGTCATTATACCCTGAGAACACCTATAGATAGGGATGGCAAAGTCCCCATACTGTAGGAATCTTCTTGCTGTGGCTTTTCACCAGCTGGTTGCAGTCTTCTTTCTCCTTCCCTTAGCATTTTACCATCCAGGAGTGGTTTTTACCACAGAGCATGTTGCCAGGCTAAATGAATTACAAGTTCCTACTTTATCACATTCCAGAGGAAAAGATAGCCCACAGTTGTCTTGGTCCAGAGAAGTTTTTTTTTTTTGTTTTTGTTTTTAGCTTAGCTTTTAATTGTTAAAAAATAATTTTTTAAGTTAATAAGTGTATTATAGGAAATAACACATGAGGCAAAGAGAAAAGTCATTTGCAATCATAAGCAACTTAGCTGGATATTATTCTAAGTCTGATGTGTACATATATGACATGCCATTTTGTGTGAGTTTGTACAGTTTGTTATGCTTTTTTCCACATATTATGAATACTCACCAATTCAAAATTCCGAAGCTGCAAGAGAATTTGATAACCATGAACACACTACAGCAACTCAGTCTGTTAGAAAAAAATTATAATCCTGCCTTTCTTGGGAGCAAAATTTCACTGAATATCAAAGTGGCAACAGGCCTCCGGATAGACATATTGGCCGAGTTATAGTTACAATTGCAAAATTTAAACTTATTTTCCTGTTGTAAAAACTGTATGCACAGCAAAACAAAACTCATAAAACATTCAGAAAAATGATGTCTGAAAATTTCCAAGTATAAACACACTAATATGCTATTTTTGCTTTTGCTTATCTCCCACTTCCTCCAAATCAAAGAACAAGTACAGACAGTATTATATTTCTCAAGAAGTGATTTAATAATTCCCTTTCCAAAAGACAATATTTCATATGAGTTTTAGCAAAAAGATACTAACAAAATGGTATTTTATTACCTGTACATTTAGCATACATTGAGCACTTCTAAACATTTAAGTAATACTAGATGTTTGAAGTCTCAATTTATTCATTATGTATACATAGCTGTCTTGGTTAAACTGCACATATGTAATAGTAGTTGAAAGTGTCTTAAAATATGAGCATTCTCATCTAGAACCCTTCCCTTCTCCACTAACCCAGTGGGCTAAAATGCTTAAATTTTCAAAAAGATTTTTTCCTAGAAATTTCAACACAAAATGTACAAAATTTATTAGTATACCAACTGAAAACTGACAATCTCTTTAACATCTATGAAGATTAAATATTGTAAAAGGACTCATTCAGACCTTTGCATACCTTATATACACAGCAAAGTAAAAAAAAAATACACATACATAAGGGACAATACAATGGTAGCTTGCCTCAGTATAAGTACACTGCCATAGCACTCTGCATTTCCTTCTCTTCTGAGAACCAGTGCATAAACAGTGTGTACTACCCCAACAAAATAACACTTCATGTGAGTTTTAACAAGAAGAAATTTACAAAATGAGTTATTTTAGTACTTCTACTAACATGTATCAGGCACTTTAGAATATCTAGAAAGGTATTTCAGATATTGCAATAAAGTTTTTAACATTATCACATATATATGGATATATAGTAATGAGGACTAAAATACACAAAACGGTTACAATGCAAACAACATCTTCTATGTGTAATGAGTCTGGTACTAGACCTTCTTTCCTCACATTCTTCTGTTCCACATCCTCAACCTTTTGGAGACCTGGTTGTATAGGGTTAAGATGCTGAACCACAGACCTCTGGCTGTGTTGGAAAAGAGCATATGCATAGTGCTCTGCAGTCAAGATAACCACAGCCTAGGCAACCAAGGACATGGGCTGCTGATACCCCTATTCCAGAGCAATAAATCTGCCACCTTTAGAGATAAGACAGGTCTCTTAATTGGCAAATTTTACTACTTGAAGTCTTTGAACTGACTCCCAAGCTCCTGCTCAGTTCCCACACTTGCCTCAGTATCCTTTGTTTGAAAACCAAATAAATACGGGCCACCCGGAGAAGTTCTTAGTCTCTACCCCCAGGGAATGTTGAATACTGTTAGAAGGTTTTAACCTTCCTGTAGCCCTAAAATCATACCACTTGTCTCTTATTTAAGCAGTCCTTTTATTTAGGAGGTTGCAGGCCTGATCAGAATAATTTCAGTAAGTTCATACAGAATAAATGTGGACAGTCACACCTAGTGTCATTTCTCCACATGATCTAATAAACTCCATTTAAAGTCATTTGCAGAAAACGTTCTTTTCTGTCATTTTTTTTAAACAAGGGCATTTCCAAGATATGTGATTTTCTAATTCTACTTTATCATATGTTGGCAACCACTTTACATCTGTACTGTCCACATGCATTATTTTCTTTTAAAAGATTGAGGGTGATGTTGAGAGCAGTTTTTTTCCTACAGGCTTTCTAAAAGTGGCTAGTAAATCTTCCTAAAGGGTAGGGGGCATTTCCAATTAGCCAAATGTGAAATGCTACTTTACCTTTTCTCTCTCTGGCAACTGCCCATGGCCCGCTAGCTGTTCCACTTATCCTCAGCCTGAGCTCCCTCACCTTCCAGGATGGATGAGACCTTAATTCGTCCTTGTTGTGAGGAGATAGGGTCCAACTGGGACACAGTGATCACCCAAAGTTCCAAATCTGCACAGCTGTATAGCCCAATGTGGCCAAGCTTTCAGACCCTCCTTCTAAGGCCCTTGTAATGGCCCTCTCCTCACCATGCCATTCTCCTCACCATGCCACCCTGCTGCTACTACAAGGCACCATGTCCTTGATAGCTGGCAGAGGCTTCACCTAGGCCAGCAGGGTTGGGACAGGAGACTCTGCAGCCAAGAGTTCCCAGCTCTAAGGACACTGCTGCTATCAGGTCTTCGAGGTGGGTTGGAAGAGTCGTTCGCCTGTGCTTCACAGCCTGGAGGGCCCTGTGGGAGGAGACTGTGCTCTTTCTTATTGTAGTCTCTTGTCCCTTTCTCACCCTGTATTTCCCTTAGCATGAGTTGGCTGTCGTGGTTATTCTGTGCCTGAACAGCAGAAAGAACTTTTCTGTGTCAGTTTTGGCCCCCTTAAGACATGAGTAAAACTGACCCAGGGTATTAAGCTCAGAGTCTCCAAACCATCAGGCTTGTGTCTTAATTAGACCAGTCTTAAGAAAAACTAACAGTTATAAAAAGAATAACAGGACAACTTTTTTCCCTAGTAACAATGCGGCAGTTTGACCATCCTCATATTGTGAAGCTGATTGGAGTCATCACAGAGAATCCTGTCTGGATAATAATGGAGCTATGCACACTGGGAGAGGTACTGTGATCTCCAGACCTGTCTGGGTTGGTGACTAAGCAGTAGTCTCATGCTTTGTAATCATTTAGTCTGCATTTGGAGTTTGATATCCTTTGCTTCAGAAAAGAAAGTATGGATTTCCTGTATTTTCAGAAAAGTTTTAGGATTATGTATGGTCTTGATTCTGCAAATATGAATAGAAATATCTTCATCATTGAGCCAGGTACAGTGGAACTTACCTTCACAGGAGGCTGAAGTAGGTGGATTACTTGAGCCTAGGAAGTCGTTGTCATCATTGTGTGGTTGTTGTTACAGGATTTTTTGTGTATATGTGACAGGAGATTAAACCCAAGGCCTTGTACATCTGGAGAAGTACTCTACCACTGAGTTAGTTCCTTAGCCCTCTTTTTTTTCTTTTCTCTAGTCAGTCTCTCTGTTTCCTGGGCTAGCTGCTAACAAGATTGCCCTGCTTCAGCCTCCTAAATATTTGAGATTATAGTTGTGTGCCACCACACCTAAGAAGGCCAGAAGTTTGAAAACAGCTTGGCAAATATAACAAGACCTTGTCTCTAAAAACAAAAGACTTTTATCATTAAATTTCCTTCATCCAATACTGGCAGCATTGCCTTTTCCATCCAGGTATTTTATAGGAACTGGTAGCAATAGCTGACCAAGTAGTTCTTTTTTATTGTTGCCTAAAGAACTAGCCCAATGATTGAAGCATGAAAGAAACAATGTTAATGGACTTTGGGTAAATTAATGTTGCATTAAGGTAAATCAAAACAGTTTCTTAAGGCATTTATAGAATTTAATTTGCAGCCAGGTATGGTAGTGCATGCTTATAATTTTAGCACTCAGGAGGCTGAGGCAGAAGGATCACTGAATTCAAGCCCAGCTTGAACTATATAGCAAGACCTTGTCTCAAAAACCCCCCAAACAAACAAAAAATTAATTTGCAGTATCTTCTAGACCAGCTGCTATTAGTCATAATTTCTTTGAAAAGTCTGAGTAATAACCATGTCAGTAGCCCTCTTTGAAATTCTCCAAAATATAGAAACTTTAATAAGTCATCACCATTACCTGGAAACTTGCTAGAAATGCAAATTCTTGCGCCCTACTACAAGCAAGTGTGCTGAATCAGACAACCAGGCGGGGAGGCAGGCCAGCAGTTTTTGTCATCAAATACCCCCCTCTTCCTTCTGCCCTGCATTTCTAAATGAAATAGAATATTTTTGGTTCACAGGGGGTTTTTCGCTTTTGCTTTTGGAGAATTTGCCAATTCTTGTGACAAAAAAATCTACTAAATGTTTTTTCTTACTGATTTTGTAGAATTAGGGTGTTAATAAATTCATGTGCCTTTCATGTCTGTGTTAGTCTTTTGCTAAATTAATGACATCAGTAGGGACTACTAAACCAAGTGGGATAAGTAGTCAGTCTGTGACCATTTTACCCTTCTGCATTCAAACTGTGGAGTAGGAAATTGGGGAGGACTCCTTGCCTCCCTTTTCTCCTCATAACATGAGTACCTATCCTGAGACAGAGTGAGGTTTGCAGTAGAAGCAAATGGACTGTTCTGTGTGTTACTTTTGTCTTTCAACTATTACTATGTCGCAGTAATGTATACTACACTTTCATCCATTCCCATGAAGCATATCTTTTTTTTTTTTTTTTTTTTTTAGAAATTTGTCTTTGGTCATAAGGATTCTAATTTTACAATAGCATTTCAAGTAAAGATGACTTTAATATGTGAGTTAAAAATGTTTCATCTGTTAGAAAATTTTTTTAGGTAGGGGAGAATTAAAGCTATCCTCTTATTAGATACGAATTTGGAAAGCTAGGGCTTTAGCTCAGTGTTTGAGTCCTTGCCTAGCGTTGTACGAGACCCTGGCTTCAATCCACAGTCTGAGAATGGAGTGTCTTTGGAAGTGATCACATTATTGAGTGTAGCTTTCTGCTGTCGGTTTTTTTTTTGTTTTTTTTTTTTTTTTTGTCTCTGATTGTTTTTCTTTTTTATCTTGACCATTTTTCCAAAGCTGAGGTCATTTTTACAAGTGAGGAAATACAGCCTGGATCTGGCATCTCTGATCCTGTATGCCTATCAGCTTAGTACAGCACTTGCATATCTGGAGAGCAAAAGATTTGTACACAGGTAAGACAGTCATGAAGCTGCTAAATCGCTGTCTGAGCCGGGGGAACAGTAGATGAGACTGGGGTGTGGAGATTACTTACTGTGCCTCATGGATACTTTTGTACCATTTTATTCTACTGTGCAGTCACTAGCAAGTCATGCATGTTACATCCTTTCAGCATGAAGTGCCATGGCATATTAATACATAGTTAAAGGATTTTTCATGAAGCTTTTAGGTTGTTTATTCCTTTCACATGTACGATCAATAGGCTGTCTTTGGCATTAGATCAATGAACATATAAATGTTTCCCAAAATATATAAATGTCTCAGGACTTTCCAGGATACCACTGTGTCACTAGTGACATCTGTTGACATTCTGCAGAATTTCTGTTCATTTCTTTTTATAGCTTGCAGGTCTATAATTTGAATGCAAGTGAAAATGTCCTCATGATTTAATGACCCTGTAAAGTATTGTTTCAGGGTTATTGTGTTTTGTGGAGGGCGCTTGAGTCAGGGCCTTGCTATGTAGTTCAGGCTGGCCTTGAACTCACCGTAGTCCAGGCTGGCCTTAAACTTAGGGCAGTCCTCCTGCCTTAGTCTCCCAAGTCCTGGGATTACAGACATGTGCCACCATGCCTAGCTATGGGTTATTGTTTTTTTCAATACAGCATTACAATAAACTGCATCAGCAAAGTCATTCATAGAAGCTCACAAGGTAACTTTTATTGAATGAGCTACCTTAACAATGGTGAAGTTATAGACCTAGTTGTGTATGACTATCAGTTAATACAGTTGGTAATATGAATTCCTAAAAAGTAATAAGCACTTTCATTAATAAACATTATTTGCAAATATATATTGCCACCATTCAAAATAATTGTCAATATATTCATGAGTGAATATCTACCAAAAGACATATATATGAAATAAAATATGTATTTTGTAACTTAATAAATCTGTTCACCATTGTACATAAACTGTCTGATTTTTAAAGTTCCTACTGGTATATCTTTAAATAACATAGATAAGTTTGGATTTTTTATTCATTTTTACTGTGTTAAAATTTATTCTTTATCAGGGACATTGCTGCTCGGAATGTCCTGGTGTCCTCAAATGATTGTGTAAAGTTGGGAGACTTTGGGTTATCCCGATACATGGAAGACAGTACTTACTACAAAGGTAAGAAACCAGAGCAATAATAGAGTGTCCCAAGGGTTGAATAGTTGATGCTTTTTATTTTGATGCTGAAAAGCTATCTTAGGTTCTCAAGCACATAACAGGGGAAACTTATTTTCTAAAATTAATCTTCTAGCTTCCAAAGGAAAATTGCCTATTAAATGGATGGCTCCAGAGTCAATCAATTTTCGACGTTTTACCTCAGCTAGTGATGTATGGATGTTTGGTGAGTATTTTTAAAGTTCTGTTTTTTTTTTTTTAATATATTTTCTATATTCTACAAAATAAGCTTAGTATGACCCCTTTCCTGAATATGAAGTTTGCTTTGCCACCCCTAACCTGACCACTTCCTTGCCCAGGGTTACCTCAGATACATGGACTACTGACCATAGAGCAAGTGCTGGGCAATGACTCAGACATACTTCTGCAGTGCTCCACTGTTTTGTTGGAATACCACTCTTCCCCCGTTCCTTTCTGCTGTCTTTCATCCCCCACAGTGTGATACCTGTCTGTTTCCTTTTTCTCTCCTTTCTCCTCTGAGTTTCAGTGTGTCTTCACCTAACAGGTCCTTCTGGCTCTGATGGCACCTTTACCACGGAGGTTCTGTGCTTACACTTCATCTCCTGACTGGATCTGCCTGTCTGAACATACGAGAGTTGGCTCCTGTCTTCCATAGCTGCTGCTTTTTTGATGTCTGCTCTCTCCCTTCCACTGCCCCAGATGGTTCCTCTTCATCCTGCTCTAGATTATTGCTGTACCTCCCAACTAGTTTAAAGGGGATCTCTAGCTCATCTATACTTTGTACTTAAACTTCTGTATCCAAATTGTGAAATGACTTACTTACTCTTCTCATTGTGGGTAGCACTCCTCCCTTCACCTTTCCGGGTGTTACTCGTATTTGGAATACCTTATTCTTACACTTTCCTCTCCAGTTGAAATCCCATCTGACCTTAAATGTTCATTCTTCCATGATGCCTTACGTGTCAGCTATCTTGACCAAATACCAACTCCCTTTTTCTGCATTCCCCAAGCTTTATCCCTGTCATGATATTCGTGTGTTATCTTGTAAGCAGTCTTGTTTGCAAACTGTCTCTGCCAGGCTAGAACTGCTTCAGAGGAGGTGCCCTGTTAAATTTATGTATTTTTTTCTATAAATAAAAATGACTTAGTATTTATCAAATAAGTGTTCTTTTTCTCCTGTCCACTTGCTATTAATGATTAATAACCTTTTAGAATACACAAAATTGTAATTAAGAAAAGGAAAGAACTTTCAACTAAAAAAGGAAGCCATGTTATGTGATTAGAAAAATTCTGTAGTCCAGGTGACACTAGTTCACAAGAGGACTGCATTTGTGAGCTTTGTAACCCACAAAACAAGGTTTCCCATATCAAAGATTCTCAAAAGCCTATTTTTCTTCATTTTACCATTTCTAAAACTGGGTATATCTTAAACCAGTAGCATTTTGCATTTGGCATTAATTGGGGGCATTGATGCAGTTGTCCTTACCTGGATTTGTGTTGACTTTGTCTGTTCATACTGTTACTTTCATGTCCAAATGAGCTTAAAAGAGCTCTTTTGATAAGAATAAAATACACAGTTGGAAGCACTGAGATATTGTGATTAGAGTGGTTCCATTCATTGTCATGTGAGATAATGGTGCTTTCTATAATCATTAGTATGTTGGATTTGATTACATAATAAAGTAGTTAAAGAAATGTAAGGCTATTGTGAGGATTAAGGATAATATTTGTAAATTTCAAAGAAAGATGCCAGAAATGTGTTAAATTCTTAAGACATTTTTGTTTGTTTGTTTGTTTGTTTTTCTTGCAGTACCAGGAATCGAACTCGCCACTTGCGCTTGCCAAGCAGGCACTGTGCCACTGAGCTAAATCCCCAGCCCCCAATTCTCAAGAAATTATAACTGGCCTTGTGATATTATTGATAATACTATTAGGATTTCTAGTGAAAAAAGCAGCACCAAGGCACTTTTTTTTTTTTTTTTCAGATTTACTTTGGAAAGTATTGGAAATTACTAAATTTACAGCTAGTTTTAGAATTTGATATGCTTTGACATGGCTTGCCTCATTCATTTCATTCTACAAAGTCACAGTTCTTCTCTTCAGAGTATCTTTGGATTTTTGATTCAAGGTCTCTGTGTAGCCCATCTGGCTTCAAACTCATGGTCTTCCTGCTTGGGATTGTAGGCATGTGCCATTGTGCCTGGCTCTCGATCGTCATTTGTGTAGTGTGCATTTTGATAGAAGTAGACTTAAAATGACAATAACTTACGAAAGGACGATCAGGAAAAGCTTCATAGAAAAACTGCATCACAGATGTACCTTTAAAACAGCAAGTTTGTGAAAAATATGGCATGTAACACAGAGTGTAGCCCCAGCACAGGCAGGCTACAGCCTGTTCAAGAGACAGTGAGAGATCTAGGATGGCCAAAGCACAGAGTAGCTATCACAGGATGCTAGTAGAAGGTGTCTATCACAGCACCAACTGGTGCATTCCTTTCTTACTGTATTGCATGTCACCATTGTCAGTGTTAGGGATGGTTGTGTGTGTTTTTTCACTTGAAAAGTGACTTCTTTAAGGTTACTCTGAAGATAGCAGGAAGACAGTTGATTTCTCAAGGATTAAGTGCAAATAAGCTTTCTGAGGTTGAGTTGTGGCTTCTGTGTATGCAATCACTGCAGCCCAGGGAAGTTGACAGCTTTGCTGTGTGAAGATGGTAATAGCAAACCAGGCAATAATGTTATTGTGCACCTAGGCAAGATATCTGACTCTTCTAAAATTTAAGGTTTTAAGTTGTATTATTTTCTCTGTTAGGCCTCAAGTCATTTCCTATAATTATAATCAGGTTGGACTGAAGTTGGGGTAGAGGGTAGTTCCAAAAGTCATTCAGCTTGTTTTAAACTGGTTCATCAAGCAGTGAAGTTTCGCTGTAGCTCATGGGCCACTTTCTAATGTTAAGATTTTCAGAGAAGTAAACCTCTAGGAAAAAGTATGACTTTTTCTTCAACATTTTATTACTCACACCATGTTAAACTAGTGCTGTTCTTATTTTATATTGGAGTCAATGGAATAATGCTTTGGTTAGATGAGTTAACCCAAACCTCACGATTGATTCTCTGGTGCCAGCTGTGGAGCTGTTCCTGGAACCTGGGAATTACATCCTTCATACTGAGCTCACTGCTGTTTTCATTCCCACTTCACAGGTGTATGTATGTGGGAGATACTGATGCATGGTGTGAAGCCTTTTCAAGGAGTGAAGAACAATGATGTGATCGGTCGAATTGAAAATGGGGAAAGATTACCAATGCCTCCAAATTGTCCTCCTACCCTCTACAGCCTTATGACGAAATGCTGGGCCTATGACCCCAGCAGACGGCCCAGGTTTACTGAACTTAAAGCTCAGCTCAGGTAGGAGAGGGGCGGGAAGGGCCTGGGGGTGGGGGGCAGATCTTGCTACTTCTCCTTTGCAGTCTTAGCACTCTTAAGGTCATTTTTCCAGTATATCTAAGGCTGAATACTTTCTTCTGCAAAGGCAATTACTTTTACATTTTATTTACTTTCCTCTGTACCTAGCTAGAGTCTTTAGTGAATTGTATCTTAAAATCTTAATAAACTTCAGTGTGATCTCTTCTCTCTGTCCTAGCTTCCAACTTAGCATGGCTTAACACACTCATAATTATTTTGTCCCTGCTTAAATCTCATCTCACCCAATCCCTTCACTCCTTGGTACTTTGTGCTCTAGCAATACCTATGGGAGTCTCCTGGTGCAACTCACTGCCTTCCACATGCCAGCTGGCTTTGCCACCTGATTTAGTCTCTAGATGCTACCTCCTTCTGGAAACTTCCCTTATCAACCATGTACCCCAAAGAGATAGTCCCTCCTTTGGTACCCTTTGAGTACTCTTACTGTTGTATTTCAGAACCCATTGCTTTTTTGTGGCTCTCACTTTGTGCTAGACACTATTAGACCCCAGACCTCTAGTACTCCCTGTTCCCTGGGGGTCATATAGAGACCCCATGTGTACCAAGTTCCTCGTAGAAATGTCTGCCCAGTCTCCCTGTTGCCTGGCTCAGGGAGGCCTTAGTTTGTTTGTCTGAGTCTGCAACTCAAGTCAGCTCCTCATCCCCATGTCTCACTCATTTCTGTAGCCTAGTGCCAAGCTTAGGACTGGGCACCATATAAGCATCCAGTGAACGTTTGTTGAATTGAATTGAATCATTGTCTAGATTGATACCTAATACCTTCATATATGTGATATTTTAACATGATATGTGGGCGCAAAGTTTAATTACACAAACATCATTGTGGTTCAGTGTGTGCCATATTGCCTCTTTTCACATTTGGAGGACTTCCTGATTTTATATGAGTTTTTGTTTACTTGCTATATTTCAATCTTTTTTCAAAAAAATCTCTAAATATTAGGGTCCAGAAGACCCCAAAAGCTCATTTCGCTTACCCTTCTTAGCTGGTGCCTGAACCCTCTCTAGGCCTCAGGACACCTTCAGGCACCTTAGAAGAAGGCAGCTTATAGGGAGCATCTAAGGAGAAGTAGCACATATTAGAAGTATAAATGACTCTGGTTTTCTAGTGTTTGCTGAGCACATTTGTGTTCTGAGATAGGTTCCGTGGGTTCACGGTGAACAAACCCAGTCCTTGGTCCAGAGAACTTCAGGTCCAGGGCTAGGTACAGAAGTCACAATGCTTTTAAGCATACAGCAGAAAGTACTCCAAAAGACCAGCCACACACTTCATCCCCCGCGCTCTCACCCCCAGGCTGGTTCCACTGGGACAACTCTAGGACAACTGTGTTCCTATAGGAACAACCTGTGTTGTTGGCCTATAGGACAACTCTGTGTTTCTTTGTGCGTGGTAGGCCATCAAGTGTTTCTAGACAGCAGCATTCTGCTTGCTGCACAATTTTCTTCAAGCTGAAAATTTCCAGTGTCTTGATTAATTGTTCTCTTACTTACATATTCTGTCACTATTACAACAGATTTTGAACATGCTTTATTTCATGTTTTCTCAGAAATGTTTCTGTTCCTCTTTGATCTTTTCTCAGAACTGGTCAGCTCCTGTCCTTGAAATGCCCTCCTTTCTGGTACCAGTCTCATTACCCTCCCTGCCAAACATTGCCCTTCCTTGCCTACTTGCTGTCCCTCCATCCTTACACAGACCAGGTGTGAGCCAGGTCTCTGTTCTCAGCCTCCTGAGTGCCCTCCCTTCTCTTTGCAGTGGTCTGGCTTATTCATAATCTCAACCTCTCCTCTCTGTTGTCTTTAGCTTTGGTCTTGCCTTTTTTCACAAATCCCAAACCTACATTTTAAATTGCCAGTTGGATATTGTATCATGAAAAAAGCGAAGCTGTTAACAACTCTTCTGATCCAGTTCTTCCTTCCCCTGACTTGTCTTCATCTGTGTGGTCTAACTGACTTAATCAGAAACATCACTATGAAAGGTAACTTCCCTGCTCAGAACAACGTCCAGCGGGTTCTCATCACTACTTATGTTCAGGCAAAGGCTTGCAGATAGCACTTAGGTCTACTTCAGTTATGGCCGGGAAACTTCCCACCCCTTTCACACACCACGGCTAGACTCATTCGCTGCCCCAGCCTGGAATGCGTCCTCCAGCTGTGGAGACCCTCCCCTTCTGTCCTGGCCTCTTTCCTACACTGGCTCTTCTGTAACTTTGCAGCTCACCAGACTCTACTGTGAGTCTCCAGTGCCGTGTGTTCCTTTACTTAGCCCCCATTGCCACAGATGGCTGCTTCCTGCATTCAGTTCCATTCCACAAATGCTGTTGAACCTGGTGCTGGTCACTGGGGCACAGATGACCGAAGGCACTTTTCCTGCCCTCGAGGAGCTCACAGTCTAGTATGTCTTTACCCTACTAGACTGAGGCTCCTTGAGGACAGGGATCGTCATACTCACCTCGGTGTTGCCGCCCTTGCAGCCAGGAGCACTGGTGGAGCTCGTGCCTCTACTGTAGTTCATGATGTCTTCTTAGGCACAGTGAGCACCGGTAACTGAGCATTCATTTATCCTGCTTGTGTTTTCATCTGAAATGGATTTTAATTTTGCATTTAACTGTTATAAAGGGCTACCAAATAAGGTGATAAAATTTAACTTAATAATATACTCTCTTGCTTGGGCATTTACATAGACAGTGTCTCACAATAATTAAGTAGTTTTTACTAGTGAGTTTTTAAAAAAATTTTTTCTTCCAAGGTTTTCACAAAAAATAAATATTGGAAAGCCCTTACTCACACCAAGGTAGTCAAACCTGTTTTCAAACCCATTCTCTTTCCTAACCTTAAAAGCAGATATTGTAAGCTGTTTTATATCACTATGGCTTCTACTCATCCTGAACTGGACTGTGTATTCGTGTGACTGCATGAGTTTAAGGAAGTAACATTTGGGATGAAGCTGTTAGGCAAAGTCATAGGAAAATTACTTGGTCATATTTTCCTGAGTTCCTTGATGACCCAGGGAAGCTGTCGTAATCATATCCTGTTTCCATATTCGTAGGAGTAAATTTGTGGTGGTCATTATCGTAGGTGGTCATTATCAAGTGTAAACAAATTCTCAATAGGAATATTTTAACTGATCAGCTGAAAATTTCTCATAGACTTAACATTTTTGTGCCTTATGACTGACAGATTTAAGAGTGTTCTAAGTAATTTTTAACGGGAAAGCATTTAGTCCCTGTTTAGGTTAAATTAATTCTTTGCTCCTGTGCCAAGGAAGCCATAATGAACAGCTTTAAGCCTGGCATCATAGCACACACCTATAATCCCAGCACGAGGGAGCCTGTGACAGGAGGATAACCAAGAGTTCCAGGCCAACCTAAATTACATAACGAGATCCTGTCTCAAAAAAAAAAAGATAATAAATAACTTTGGGGGGGACTTCTGCTAAAAAATAGCATTTCTCATCGTTCTTTCATTGACCAAGGTGTTGTGACACTATAAAAGAACGTGAGAGCTGGGTATGATGTCATCACCTGCAATTCCGCACTCTGGGAGGCTGAGGCAGGAGGATTATCAAATTTTAGCAGTTTAGGGACACCCAAAAAATAAAAAGGGCTGAGGCTGTAGCTCATTTCAAAAGCCCTAGATTCATTTCTCTATTATGGAGTTGGGGAAGCCTCAAGGTTTTGTTTGATTAGTTGGTTTTGATTTTTTTTCAGATAGGGTTTCACCCTAAAGTACAGGCTGACCTTGAACTCTCCATGTAGCTCAGCCTGGCCTTAAACTCACAACCCTCCTGCCTTAGCCTTTAAGTGCTGGGATTACGGATATGCACCACTGTGTCATGCTCGAGAATGTCCATTTTATCTCAGGTTAGGGAAATGTTTTAAGATTGTGTTAAATTTCTTAAAGACCCTTTAGAAGGGATTTAAGGGCAGTAAACAAAATGGTTACTCTTAAGTTTGTGAGCCCTAATTTTCACCTATTTCTTAATGTTTTTATTGAGATATGATAATATTCATCAACACTGAATAGAGAATGTTCTGTGAGCAGCTGGGTGAATTTTCACAAACTGAGCACAACATCTAACCATTATACAAAACAAGAAAGCAGTAGTCCAGAAATCTACCAAAGATGCCCCTTTTCATTTGCTGTTCACTCTCCAAGGGTAGCCACTGTCCTGCCCATGGATTAGTTCGGCTTGTTTTTTTTAACTCCATCTGCATAGCATTCATTGGTACATAGCATTTATTTATGAGTTCATTTATAAGCTCATCCATTTTATTCAGGTAGTCATTGCTGTATAGTTTCCCATCTGTGAATACACTGGAGTTTATTTGGCCACTTCATGGTTGGTAAAGATTTAGATGCTTTTCACATTGGGGCTGTCAAGAATATAGCTGCATGAACATAATTGTTAGTGCCCTGGAACACACATGAAGGCATCTCAGTAAGGTGTATACCTGTGAGTCTGAAGCTGTGCATACATTGAGCTCTAGCAGACACTGGCAGTTTCCAAAATGGATATACCACTTTATAGTATGCCCAGCAGTGAGCAAAACTCCAGTTGCTGCAAAGGTAGTTGGTTTTTCAGTGTTTTTGTTTGTTTGCAGTATTAGGGATTGAATCCAGATCATACTGAGCTACAACCTTAGCCCTTTTTTATTTTATTTTTGAGATAGGGTCTCAAACTAGCCTCCAGTTGGGGTCCTCCTAACTCAGCCTTCCACATAACTAGGATTATAGGCATGTACCGCCATTTCTGGCTTTTTTTTTTTTTTTTAACTTTTGGAAATTCTTCTTTCTAAGCAAGCCAGTTTCACAAATGAAGTAAAAAGATATAAGTGGTACATAAAGGAACTTACCTGATCCTACATGTTCAGGTTAAGTATTGCCTTAGAAGACAGTCCTATTTTAGATTGGTCTCTATTACTGAGCTC